CACTGATATTCAATCAAAACAGATACAGGGTGATCAGATTTCTGAATCTTGAAACACCCTCTGTGTCTGTTCCGATAGAATATCAGTAACTACCATGGACGTATAATCAGAGAATGGGACATATGAGCCGTTTTGACCGATAATTAATAGTTTCGACACAAAAAAACCCTAGAGCTGAAAAATCTCGATTTTGTACACCCTATATCTCTGCAATCTTTTTCGATAGACGCCAAGTGTAAGTATCGATAATATCAGCTCTTCAGGGATAATCTAAAGATGCGATAGAATACAGGATGTTCCATTTGAAATATCAATGTTCCTACTACTTTCTAGTAGAAGCGGAAACACTGCATTGTCGGAAACATTTTAAATAAAGAGAGCGTATTCGAAAATATAAGCATGCTAATTTCCATGGATTTCTCCCGACTGATTCTCGATATAAAGATAGTGTACGCTCATCGTGACATACCCTGTATACCCAATATACTTAATTCCTTGTGAATTTGGACGGTTAAGGACATTCTCTCGTGTTTTGGAAGTACCAAAACGATGCTATTGAAGAAAATAACGATGTGCGTCGTTATTGAGAACGATCAATAATATTTGGCGAATTGAAAGATGGAAGTATGAACGTTTCAATTATGGTTTCTTCATGTAAATCTCACATCTTCTTCGTTTCTTCGTATTATATTGAAACAAGACACTAATCAGTCGATGTTCATCCTTCAGAAACTGATGATCATGCAATAATGATTTGTATACAATGGAATGTCTCTGTAATAATCTACCATATCGGTCAGATTCTGGAATGATTTACTGTTGGAAAAATAAGGAATTGACATTCGAATATTCAAGCTATTTCAGACATCCATTGAATTATTTTGTCAATTCATTTCAATTATCGGAATCATGGTAAACGACTCTTGATAAGGGTTGGGCTAGCTCTTTATTAGTCACTTTGCAGGAGAAGAGCGCAGCTTACCGGATGGCTCATTCAACATAATAGTCATCTGATGTAATATATGTCCCAAAAGGAAGTAAAATCATTGTAGTCAATCGAATGGCACCTGTGCACGTTCTTGCGCAAAATGATCTAAAAATTGCACTTTCCTGTGCGGAAATTTGCACTCGAACTCGCGATTTGAGATAAGAATTATGCCATCTGATACCATCAATTGAATGGTAGATCTCAAAAACCTACCTGTGCCTTGGTGCTATTATTCCGGACATACTTCCGTCCTTTGATAAAGAGTTGTGACAAGACAAACTGATTTCAGTTAGTGGCAGAGCGTCAATATTTCCGTGAATATTCCGCCCTCGTTGGAAGATATTATCCGATGGGCCAGTGTGGAATTTATGTGGTGCTCACACTACAAGTATTCTGATCCACTTGTTGGGTTTTACACTGGTCCATCAGATATTATCTTTGGAGATGGGCGAAATATTGTCGGAAGTATTGACGCTCTGCCACTAACTTTTAGATCAGTTTGAATCGCAGCCCATATGGATATTCGCAAAGGCGACATCATCCCCTTCCATTTGCTTCTTGTTTAAACTCGTTATCACAATCATGCGAAAGTATGTCTGGAATAAAAGCAGCAAATATATCGCTGTGCCGCAAATTTGGCTTAGACTGAGGGGTGGCACAGATAGATTCTTGAAATCTACCAGTCAATTGGTATTGGAATGCATAATTCTCATCTCGTTATCAAATCAATCAATCAAATTTGCAGTCGGCTCTTGGACTATAATGAAGTATTACCCAGACTCGAATTACCTTTTCAAGCCGGGTAGTGAAGTTGATGATACATTGATGAATTTCGAGGTGGAGAGAGTTGAAATTGAATATGAAAATGGTTTATTCATAACAATAGATCCATAATCACAATATTTGTGATTGAATCTACCAATCACATAATTTTCGACAATATCTAAATAACACCGACAAAATTCAAGGGTTGATTCTGTGATGAGGATGGGTGGGGTTTTGGTATAACATTTCTTCTCTAAAAAGTTACACTCCTCCGAAGATAAAAAAAATGGTTTCAATTATCCTTTTCTCGTTAATGCTTGAGTTTTGTAAAACACTTGTAGAGATAAAAAAGTACGAAAATGATTTCGGCTTTTCAGCCATGTTTTTTTAAAAGAGAGATTTTCTTGAAAAAAAGTTGTATGAAATAATATCTCAGGGGTTGACTATTTCAACTAAGCATACTTCAGGTTTGAAAACATTGCAAAATGTATAGTTTCATTGAAAAATAATATCAGCAAAATCAAGTGAATTCAGCTATGAATATATACAGGGAGAATGAAAGTGAAAAACATTATTTTCAATTTTCGGGAAGGTGTAATTTTTCCTGGGTAAGGTTTTTTTAAAAATGCTTTACCATCGCAAATACCCACCTTGATTTTCATCACAGAATCACCTCTTCATTTTTTCGTTGTTATTTGGATTTTATGAACTCTCTGTTCATAATTTTATTCCAAAACAGCAACTAGAAATTGAAAACAGAACTATACAAGAAATTAGCAATGGAGTCATTCTTGAGAACAAACATTTCAGTATTATAATTGAGGCAATCTGACCACTAGTGGTACCAGGGTTACGGATATTTTTTTCTTTCTAAAAATAATATTATGTAATCGAAATTCACAGAATTTTTGAGAAAACTATCTAATTTCGACAACGAATTTGGGCTTCCATAATTCCATACATAAGAGGAATACTACATTTCGTAGGTATAACAGCCACCCAGTAGGTCTCAGGAAATGGAACTACCGTAGCTGTTCTTCATTCTCCCATAATTTCTTGTGACTCGCAGAATGCAAATGATATTAACCGAATATGCAAAGCCATTAGAAGTCTTGTACTACACATACAAAGGACGGATAATCAAAGTTACAGTGAGTGTCAAGAACAGTATGTAGTTTCGTCATTGATCATCAACAGTGAAATAATCAGTAGGTAGGTAGATAACATTATGATTATCCTTCATGAGTTTGAACATAGACAATAACCGAAACTTGAGATCAAGGTTGGTAAGGCCAGCTTATGATTATTTGTAGAGGAAAATTGCCTCGATCAGGAAACGTGGATTACGAACATGATATAATAGAATCTACTTTAAGACAGGGCTATAGAATTATCATCAGTCCTACCAACCCTGCTTGAGAATGTGTATATTAACTCCTTTGAATAGATCTAGAAGAGATAGGTAGGTAATGAATGAAATAGGTATATATAGCCAATAAATTTTCAGCGTTACATTGTCTGTCTATTCGAATATATTTGTATGATTCTCTTCAGATATATATTATATTAATATATCAGGAATCACATAAATCAATGGTACTTCATAAGGTATTTCCTATGTTACTCAAAACATCTGAACAATATTGTGAAGTTTCGGGTTATAATCGACTAGGACATTCGAGCTCCTTTATTCCATTTCGCATAGGTGGGTCGCTTTCCATATGGGATGTTTCAGAACTGAATTGAGAAATGTCTAAGAAACATTCAGGTCAGCAAAATCAGCATATGAAATCCGAGCACCCAGATGTTAATTGAAAATCACGTTTTATATTGTGCTATTCTTGCTAGCCTTCACGAAAAAAAAAAAAGCATTCGTTAAATCTAGCAAAATTTACATCAATGAGGCAAAATGTGAGTGTCATAATTATATATTTATATATGCACGACATCATATAATATTGGAATGAGTATATAAAACTATATCTCGGTTCAAAGCGAATTTGTAGTTTGAATCAAGTGAATATAGCTTGCATGAACTTTGTATCTCATCCAATCAAACACATCCATGCATTGTTTATTACGAGATATTAGATAGGCTCAAGCAAATTTTTGATTCAATGAAATTTCGTGGACTGAAGAGCATTCCATTTTGACTGATTATTTTGTTGAACCGAATTCAGTATCGATTCGAAAGTATATGTTTTCCATCAATTGAATAAACATTTTGGGGGCTAGTCGACTTCTAGTTTAGATCTTCAGCCCTCACTACTCTTCAGCTGATGCAAATCTATTTCGACTTGCTTAGCACACTTCAAAACAATTTGAATGATTGAACTCCGCGTTATTGTGCCTACCGCATGAAAATTTAAACAGATATGACGTCAGATTTGCTATAGTGTAGAACTTTGGGTGGAAAAAGAGGTCTAACCTCAAATTTCATTTTGATCCCTGAGTTTTCTTTATTAGTGCCATTCGATAGTACACGTCGAGCTTCCTCAGTGTTTTAAATATTTGCACTTATTTCAATGCCACCCTGTACATAATGAATTCGAAGCAGCCATATATACGAAGCGACAGAATCGTCATCTAGTAGCGGAAATTCAACTTGATGTTGGATGCACGAAATATTTCGTTGATATCGTGTATTTTGTTAATCTATTGAAGCAATAACGTTTCGTTCGAAACAAGTTCATTGCTACATCAGTATAAGAAAACTTTTATGTGGTTTCATAGATATTTTTTTCAGTATGATCATCATTTCATCGAATCAACGACCTGTATTTCATCAAATCCACATCGACATTTCTGGTTCAACTTCATTTGTTTTTGATGTAACCTCATATTCAGTTGATATGGAATCAATACTATACTGTTGATTCACTTGAACTACATTCTTGATTTGAACAAGCTGCATCGTTGAAATGATCTTGTATCTGTTCGGTTCAACAAGAATTTGCTCAGATCAAAAAAATTAATTCAAGCACAAATAATTTGTTGAACTAACAAATCCTTCTTTACCGTGTTGTCTATTCCGTCAATAATTTGAACGAAAGGATTGTTTTATATAATAATCGAGGATCATGCTGCTTATTCTAGAAAATATTGAGATTGAGAAAAATATGAAAAATGTTTGAGTTTGAGTTTCCGGATTATTTCTGGCCCTGGAGATGGTAAAATTAAAGTAACCTATTCATTCACTACTGAATGAAATGCAATAATGGAAAAACTTGGGTATATATTTACTTACATTTTCTACTGTGAAATCCACTCCAATACCAGAAATCTGTATGGTATAATATAAGGATCGATCTTGCTCAGCACATTGCTGTCTGGCGATTGTTAGCTGTTGAACAATATCTTGAAGTTGTCCTTGGAGGCCATTGGAAGCTATCTTGGCAGCGTTACACTCTTTTACTAAGTCTGAGACCAATGAAGTCACTTTGTATGTAGCTGAATCAAAAAATACATATTCAATTTTGAGACTGACATTCAAAATGGAAATGAAATTGTTTTAAAATCAATGGTTGGAATATAGTTTTCGATATTTGGCAAAAGATTTTTCAACAGAAACTCGTATGACTGGATATTCCTCGATGCGACAGTGAACCATTAAACAGAACTTCATAAGGCGAAATTATTTTGAGGGGGCAATTATCATACTCACAAGCTTTGAGATCCTCCAATTTCGCAAAATCATTCTCAATTCCAGTATCTGACGCTAATTCTTGTTGGTACGGTATCCCAAGTAATTCATGGACAGCTGGAAAGTTAAATTCAAGATTACTGTACTAATGTGTTTCATGTACTGAGAAAATGTATTTCATTCGTACTGGATATTGATTTCATTGATCAAATCCATAACACATTCAAGAAACATTTCGGAGGATGTTTTGTTTCAGATTGAAAAATTTTGAGAAGTACCTAGTCGGTTGATATTCGAAATAAATCGATAATGATTATAATTTATTCATTTCATTTCATTCATTATTCATTTATTTCTTACACTGTTCAAGAGGTTGCCCCATTTACAGAACAGGGAAAAAAAGGACGAAACAAAAACATATGCATTGCATATTACATAAGCATAATGGATAGACGAAACAATATGAAAAAATGTTCTATCTAGTTATTCACTGATGAAGGAGAAAGATGATAAGAAGTTTTGACATGAGTTATTCCACACCTGAACAGATCTAGATTCCTAGCTACCAAGTTATATGTACTACACATCTTATACAAAGGTGAATTTTTATATATGTTGGTTCGAGGAAACTCTGAGTAGAATTTATCACAATTTCTGGAAGATAATCTCTGGATAATAAAGTTCAATCAGGATAAAAAAGTATTGTCTTCTTACGTGCAGGCTTACAAATTGGAAAGTTTCAAGCAGCTCTCCATCAGGTGTACCAATTGGAGGGTATGTACCGCATGACTTGAAACTTAACAGTTTGAAAAACCGTCGTTGCAGACTTTCAAGGCGATCAGTATTGTTCCGATAGTATGGGCTCTAACGTATAAAATAGTAGTACAATTTCTTATGAGTATCTATCTCTTTAAAATCACGACTTTTGCGTACCATGAACCCGTATGCTCGAAATGCGGATTTCAGGATTGAGTCAATATGATCATCATACGATATAGATTGATCAAATATAACGCCAATATCTTTGAATGTTATTATAGGTCTCAGAAGAGAAATGTCACCAATTGAGTAATTGAAAACGATTGGGTCCGATTTCAATGTGAAGGACATGGCATTACATTTGACAGGATTCAGTTCTAATCTGTTATTTCGACACCATTCTTCCACTCGACCCATGTTGTTGACGATCATTCATGTGATTCACGCACCTATATAATTTCAGGTCATCCGCATATAGCAAAAAGTTTACGTTAATAACATTACCAATATCGTTAATGAAAATGTTGAAAAGAAGTGGCCCCAGATTCGAGCCTTGTGGTACGCCAGATGTTGCAAGATATTCGATAGACTTGTAACCGTTCAACTGGACATATTGTTCACGATTAATGAGGTATGATTTGAATGGGTTCACTAGAGAGATAGATAAGCGAAATGCTTTCAGTTTGATTATCAAAATTCCGTGGTCAAGTCTGTCGAAGGCTTTGGAGAAGTCGATGTAGATGACGTCTGTTTGCGCACGATTATCAATATTCTCAGAAATGTATTGAGTAACTGTTATCAGATTTGTAACCGTTGTCCGACCTCTCATAAAACCATGTTGATGGGGAAGAATGATTTTGTTGATGCTATAGGACAGATTACGTTAAAACATATTTTGATCAGAATTGATAAAGGTCGGGCAAGTGCTGAGGCGCAGTCACTAATTACGAATGCTGGTATACAGTCAGATAATGAAATAATTGTCATATATCAATATGATTCTAATATGATGAGTAAATAGGATACCTTGATATGGTATGGATAAAGGATTCAGAATACTGATGCTATGGATATAGGTCGTAGAAGACTCGATTTGTGAAATGAAGGGAGTTAGAATCGAGATTCAGAATTGAGTTTCATTGAACTGCTAGCAATTTGTTAAAAAGAAATCGTTGTATTCTGGTGAGTACATGGGAGCGATCGAATGGATATCAATTAATATTCAATCTATCCTCTGTCTATTAGCACCGCTAGGATCTGTTGAAGTGTGATTTTGCAGTAAAAATATGTATGAAATGAATATGACGTTCCACGAAAAAGTTCAATCAACACGAAAATATCTCTGACATAAACATTGTTCTCAATCAATGGATTTGACTCAGAATAAGGGGTGGAATAGGGCGGATTTTGAGATCTACTATTCAATTTGTACGGATGGTATAATTCTTTTCTGGTTATCGCGAAAATGAGTGCAGATTATTGAACAGGAAAGTCCCATTTTTCAATCATTTTGCTCAGAAAAGTGATAAGCGCAGGTGCCGTACGACAAAAACTGATATTTTTACATGCCTCTGAAACATAATGGCATTTCGTAATCAGATGAAGTTCGAAATTTGCAGCCACCTCTCTTAATATTGGCTTGATACCTAACCGTTGAAAAAGTTCATTTGTGTGTATTCAAAATTTCATTTGTGTTCAATGCCACACAAATGTATTTTTTGTAGTTATATTCTACTTCCATTGGCGAAATCACTCAAAAATGTGTGTTTTTATTTGCATTGCGTTCTTATTTCACAAATAGATTGGGTGAAGGTCACTCGAATTTTGTTCATCAGTTCGGTTCATTCTAAACTTCAGACGTTCCTAATCATATTTCTCAAAAATATTGTCATTTTTGGAAATAGAAGTGAAGATTCCTAATTTTGATTACAAATTTTCTAAAAACTTTCACTCTGTTGATTAACCCATCAGTATAATTTGAATTACTTATTTAAAAAACCTCCACCGCTGAATACAATTCTTTTCGAAGAATAACGATTCAATTACCTCGTATCTGTCGATCAATTTTCTGTTATTCAATAATGAAATTCCACATATTGGATCATAGAACACAATTTCGATACCAGATTGAGACACATATAACATGTTATTTTACGGAGATAGGTAAGGTTTTGTACTATTTTCCACGAACGATTCAGAACTTTTATCTCATGAGATAGTATCAGATTTCTATTTCATGTTATTGGGAAATCGATTGGACAACGGTTATGAAATAAATCACAATCTTGACAAAGTTATATCTGGTTTAAGTTGAGAAGCTTCACAGATTTATAATTTATACTTTATCCTGTTTCATTCACGGAATCGGTATCTGTATAGTATTGATGAAATAAACATCTGGTGCGCCCACTCTTCATTAGTTTGTCAGACTTGTTCTTGATATAAACAATTGAATTTCAGACGATAACGTATGGTTTACATATTGAATGTTAAATGGCGTGATTCCTAGAACCTAGCAAGGTTGGTAGAAATGATGATTATTTCGTATACGAATTATCATCAGTTCTACCAACCTTGGAACCTACAACTTATGATCAACATCAGTTCTATCAATCTTGATGAGGCTAAATCGCAAACTGTATCCCCTAGGGTCCCTTGATGCAAACTGATGTATTTGTCAAAATGCTTCCAATTTTTCAGTTTCCTATACAAGTAGAGCTACGCGGAGCGCTAATGTAATAGAATACGTAGAATATTGAAAATTTACAAGCCCTATCCGATTGACGCACATTTTGAAAGCAATGGGCATCATGAAGCGATAGTGACTACTGCACATTTTTTAATTTGGCAAATATTGCAATTCAGTCTACAGTTTGTGAGCAAACAAAGTGCTCGTGCAATTTTTTGATGATGAAACAATAATTGTAAAAATTATTGGACACCAAAGACACAATAGGCTCATTGTTTCCGCAATGATTGTGTGACTAGGGAGCACAACATGAATAACATCTTTGAAGTGTCAATTCGCATAATGAAGAATTCCGTTTTACAAAGATTTGGAACGGTTAATGCAGTGTCTCTCTCAGGATTTATCACACACTCACTGAAAGAGTTTTACAAATAAAAATGTATCTCATATGCGAATATAATGGTCGTGGGTTTAAGTTGGATCTTCGATTCAAAAGAACTCTGTTATAAGGCTAATCTCTTTGGAGTGACCGAAAAAACAGATACCCACACGTTTTATGGTCAGTTCATCCCAAGATGACAATCTTGTTTACCTATACTATTGATACACATATAGAATATAGAACAGTGTGATCGTTCTGTAGGAGCAGGAGACAACTTATGTGAACATATTTGTGCTGTTTTCAATACTGGAGTAAATTTGTTAACAACACTGAATTTGTTATTTCAGGATCGGGTAGATCTTGCAAAGTTGGCACTTGGTGATGACGTTGATGGAAGTTTCTATATGAACCTTGAAGAAAAATGTCAACCATAAAACGAAAATGTGTATCAATAATTAGACCGTAGATAGCACCGAAATCTCGACCGAAATATTAGCCGAAATTGCAGTTACTATACAATTGATGAAAAAGGCGGAGTATAAAAAAGAAGTTAATTGTCTTGCAGAAAATTTGAAAGGAATTTCACAATTTGCTGCATCTCATCCGCCCGAATACATGTTTAAATACAAAATGCATATCGAAAATGGAGATACGTTTTATAATATTATGCTTATCTATCACAATAATTACATCAGTATAAATCACGCCGAACAATGTAAACTTAGCATACAGGAAGCTGAGCGAGAATTGCTGGCATACCACTCAAAATAAAAGCTTCAAAGAGATGTTCTGAATGGTGGAAACATTATTTATTCCAGAATTCCAAAACATAGTTCGCAATCAGCCTAACTCTGAAAGCCTAAAAATGTTCTATAGTTTTCTCTGGCGAACTGTTATGAATTATGAAATTCATAGAATTTCTGTAATAGCTTATATTTATTGTGCGTCTATCGCATAGGAATTGTAATATTTGTAGTGTGGATTGGGCATCGTGGGAATGTATGATCATTGTATATGTACAAAGATTATATAATTTTGTATGCCACAGTGAATAACAAAATTGCGTTCGCATACGTTGTGCTAAGGGGGGCACTGGAAAGCTGCTTAAATAATATCCACGTCTTTAAATATCAACTTTGCATTCATGGACAGCTCTTCAGTCTGAACAATACTGGTTATTATTATTATTAACCCGTCGAGTTGAGGCTTCGCACCCCTTCGTGGTCATCCAACGAACAGCGAGGCTCTGGAACACATTGCCAAGGGAGGTGTTCCCCGAGGCATATAACCTCCAGAAATTTAAGAAGAACACCAATTCCTACCTCATTTTCCTTGGTTCTCACGATGTTCTCTGAACATTACAGGATATCTCTTTTCGTGGGAAACAGAACATGAAAAAAAACAACATAAAACAATGTCTATCGCACTTCGTTACGAGGTTATTGACCTTGGAAGTTCGAATGAAAAAAATATTCCATGTATAACTTTTGAACGGTTGCCATGGTATCAATGATATTCGGGCAACTAAATTGACTCATACTAATGCTCCTTCCAATATGTAAACGGCTGTTCAGTGATTATGTTTTGTACATGATGGGACACATTTTTTTCGTTCAATGAAGGCGTTTTTAACAGAGGTGATGAATTTGACATTTTGCTCCCACCGGTTGAAAACCCAGACAGCACTGGATATTCATAGAATATTCTCTAATGCTAAAAAGGAGGAGTATATTCCGAATATTCGTCGATTTTTCCTAGAATATATACATGCCTCTGGAACATCTGAAAGGGATATTCCAAAGTGAATAGTCGGACATGTTCAGGGAATATTCAAGTATGAATCTTTCAGGAATATTCCCAATTGAATATTCTCAGTTGTATATTCATGAAATATACCCAACTGAATATTCTGTGCGGTATATTCATGAAATAATCACAACTGAATATACTGTGGTGTATATTCATGAAATATTCCATGAATATTCCTATGTTTCTCAACACATAAATACCATTCCTTATTTCAGAAATGTGAGTATCGAACATCAATTAGATGTAACGGGATTTTGAAACAAAGAGTGTTTATGATCCGATTTCGAACAAAAAGCTCTCACAAGAACTTGATTTGTATAACATTATTCAATTCAATTACTGGCCTAGTGGTCAAGGCGTTGCTCTGATAGTCTTGAGGTCACGAGTTCGATCCCTACTTGGGTCACTTTTTTATTTTAGAATATGTTTATTGGAATATTCCATGAACATTCAACATTGAATATTCTTTTGGGTATATTCTATGATTATCTGAGGAATTCCCATTCGCATATTTAGAGAATATTCCTTAGATATTCCGGAATATTCCAGATTATTTCTAGGATATTCCAATATTCCAAAAGGAATATGATAGGGAGATTCATGGAATATCTGGTGCTGTCTGGGAAGTACGATATTTCTGGCGTTCATTCTTGCAAGTTCTCAAACAATTCTCCAAAAATGTCCCAAGTAAACATATAACCGATTTTCTGGAGCCTAGTTTGGTAATTTCACTGGGCTATATATGTAGATCTCTGCAACTCGCAAATCGTATGCAAATCATTATTTCACACATAGTTTGTGGTAAACTAGCCTTGGTCAAAATTTGGAAGCTTCGTAGATAATCTCGTACACCCAAATTGTATGCAAATGTAATAACATTGATTGGTGGGTCGAAATGTATATGATTCAACCAAAGGGCATACCTTCGTAAATAATCTGAGTGAAATGTTTCTGCTCCATATGCCGCCTTCCGGGATCGACCTAGACGTATGCAAATCGGCAAGCAACCAGTTAATTTAGCGAAATCTCACTATTCCAACATGTTTTGAAGCTTCGTCTTTAATGAAATATCCAATATTGCATCCAAAGGTTGAGTGAGAGGAGCGACCGGGTACCGATCCAACAAACCACTTTTTTCCAATAATCCACCTCAATCTTTATGTCCCTTGATAAATAATCGACAACCCTAGTGTTATGGGCCTACGGTATTGACGTTCATTTTATAAATATTTCATCGAGTTGTTACATTACTATGATTAAATGTGTATATCTTCACTAGGAAAATAATTATTGAATTCTATTTCATGATCGCTTCAATGAAAGTTTTTATTGTTCATTGAATCTTCTCTGATTTCATGACCTATTCTGAGACTGAGTTCCTATCAACATATACATATACGTCCTAATTTGATTCGCTTTCAAGTAACAGGATGTCAAAGTTGATGAATAAACAGTTTTATCCTACTCACATAACTAAAATGGCATTAAGCGCACGGATATATATCCATGTACACGCTAAATGATCGATTAATCACATTGATGATCTGTGATTTATTAGAAAAATTAAACACGTTACCATGGCAACAGAGTTTTTTGAATACACCTTCAGTCGTTCGAGTCCTGTCCGGCCTGTCAATTGAAGGAACTGTCAACTGTCATTTTCGAATTTTGTTTCAATCATTCATTCAAAAAATTTCTGTATGTATCAGAATTCTCCATTGAAAATGTATCGTATATTGGCGAAAGTGAAATCGAAGAGAATATTTTAGGTATAGGTACTTGCATATTTCCAAGAATTCTAGGTATCAATTGAGCTCTCAGCATCTTAGTGGGCAATTCAATCTATGCTAAACATGATAATAAACGTGAAATACAATATTCATGAGAGCAAAATTATGCAATCAGCGAATCCAAGAGTTTTTATTTACAAAGGCCAGTAAAAAAGCCATTTCTAACAAAATTAATGTAGTTGTTTCTGTTGAATATTCGTAATGATGTGTGCTAATACATATTTTTGTCTGATGGAGAATGCAAATTCTCAAGTTCAGAAGTTTTCATATTTTATTTTCAAACTCTTATCGTGTGTGTTCAATAGATATAATTCAATGTTCCTCATGGCATATAGCCAGGAAAGTAGTTGTTTTCTATTGAATAAACTGAAAAAGAGTAGATATTCTCATCACATAGAGAATGCGAATTCTCAATGTATTGCTTCATATAAATATATATCCATTTTTGTATGTTCATAATTTATCTCAGGATATTCCTTTTCAGCATATTTTCATCTTTGACGGTCTCTATCTCGAGAACAAAGTGATTCCAGTAATTCCATTTCAGGAACTCTCAGTCCTAAAATAAGCCAAGGAGCCACTTTTTACTGCTGTTAGATATCACCATTTCACCAACACGATTAAATAGAAATCACATATCTTCTTGCCAAATACCTATAGTATCTCGTAGGAAATGATGGCTGTTTTCATAGTTGCATTAAAAAAACAATTGTGAACTGGAACATAATAAAACTCCAACTATAATTTCAACATTTTCACTCACCGTCCAAATCTTTTCCGATTTCCTCAAAAGCGATATCTGTAGACGACGTAACGACGAAGGAAATCTGCATGTGGGTATTTTTCAGGAAAGTGTTGACGTCCTCGTAAATTATACTTGCAGACGTCGGAGACTTCGATATAGATCTGGAAATTTGTTCGTTGCCCGCTAAAATCAGTATGATGGGTGAGCTGAAACCGATGGAAATAAAATGTTTGAGGATTTTATGACGGAAATGTGCTGGTTGGGATTGTATGAGATATTTTTGTTAGATTGCGCACAGGATCGAAAAACGACAATGTATCCTTTGCGTGTGTTGGATAAACATAACAAAATCAATGTTGGAGTAAAAAATCTGTCCCACGAATCATATGATATAGAATGATACCTACGCAAATTCCTCTACAATTTTCGATATATTCGTACATGTTTCGACCAAAACATTTTATTGGGCAAGAAAATTCTTAAAAAAATTATTAAAATCATTGGCAAGAAAAAAATCCAATATTTGAAATTTTCAGGGTCACGAAAAACTTGGCATAATTAGCAAAAAAATCAAAAAATGGCTGAAAGAATCCGAAAAAAATCCACTCCATTTCTTTTTATACAACAATTTTTTAACTTCCTATGAAAATTTCCGTCACTCTTCACTACGAAACATTCCCAACGCTAGGGAGGAAGCAAAAATTTTATGAGAATAAAACTTTTTACGTTCCTTTTCTCACCCTTTCCCGTATACAGACAAACTATATTTGGCATTTCAATGAATACTATCCACCTGAATTATAATTCTCACTTCTTTGATACGCAAAAATACCCGTTCTTGCTCACAGACAAGCTATATTTGGCATTCCAATACAGGGCGTTTGGAGAATATGGCCAAAAACACTGTTTTAAATAGCGGCAATTTTTAATACCCATCCTTTTCTTCACTGCACTGCTGGGATTACCTGTTCTTGCCCACAGACAAGCTATATTTGGCATTCCAATACAGGGCGTTTTAAGAAATTGGACAGAACCTTTTTTTCAAAGCACAATCAGGCCAGGATCTTAACAAAATTAACCAAAAAGTTCCATCACTCTCACTTTTCCAATAAAAAAACGAATCTGGGATCATCTCCACCCACCAATACGAGACGTGAGCACATTGGTACGGACCGTGATAAAGATGAATCTGAGCGAAATACCAAAAAATTGTTTTGAGCATGAAAATTTTTGAAACTTTATTCAAATTATTGGTACGAATAATCATCCTATTTTTTCAATTTTCAAGGTCACGAGAAACATAGTTTGCAAAAAATCAAAAAATGGCTGAAGAAATCGGAGAAAATTCCACTCCATCTTATATTCGACAAATGATAATAAAATCAACAACATGTGAGGTCAGTTCATGTGGAAGAGACCTAAATGTGAAAATACTTACTAGAAGAGGAATGTTAAGCGGAGGTACTATGACATTGAATCCATAATCGAAATGAAATCTAAATCTTCTATTAATCATAATGTATAGGTAGATCGATTCATCATATAATAACACTTCCTTTTTCTTCTCTTTGGAAGTAGTTCCACATTTTGATATATATACAAGATGTCTCGAAAGGTCATAGCGCAAATGATAGGACTGATAGGGTGAGCCAAAATAATGTTAGTACTCTCTATAAAAATGTCTGTCGCACTTCGTTACGGAAAATTGCTGCAAGTCCATATTATAAGACGCATATATGCATGCTCATGATCATTACTAAACTCGTCCATGGTGTTACTAAATTATTGAATATACTGTCAGAGTAGTTTGATTTCAATTCAGACAATGACTGCCACCACCATGATGTTATTGAATAAATTGAGATTTTATCACCTTTGAAACGGTTGGGATATTTGTTTTTAAAATGCGATTTTTTCTAGAGCGTTACAAGATATGTACCTATTGAAATAAGTTGATATCGAAGATGAAGGTATTAAATGGTGGAAACAAAATGCCAAACGAAAAAGAATCGTCCCATCCTGTATTGAACAATAATCACTGAACAGCCGTTTACATATTGAGGACAGGAGCATTTCGAGCAATATAGTATGAGTTCGTTAGGTTGCCTGAACATCATTGATACAATGTAACCGTTTGAAGATGAATATTGCACCTATTCAATAAACCTATTGAGACAGAGTATTCAACTATTCTGTTTTACTGATGTATTTTGTGAAAGTGTCAAAGTTTTACGTAAGTCTGTCACTTGAAATTGAGAATTTCATGTTCCGTATCAACTTTCATTACGGAAATTAGTGATCATATTAGCGAATCAATACCAGAAAATGCCAAGAAGAGGAGAGAGTGTGTTTGGAAACAATTTATTGTATACTGGCTAGTAGGAAAACCATGAATTTTGTGCTACTATACAAATTTTCGAGATAGCCCTAAATCGACTTGAATAAAATGTTGAAACCTATATGTATAATGGAGTATATTTTATTCTGTTCATGAAATAATCTCCCGAAATATCTCTCGATCATGACAAGATTATGGACACTATTATTGTTTTGAAACCATTTCGAGTAACTTGGCTATCGGGAGTTATTCAGGTTATTGATGATGCCCCAGCCCCCATTCAAAACAGTGGCCTGTGAATAATTTCGAAAATTCCCATCCTATGCTTTGAAATTTATATAATATTGCATAACTTATAACCTGTTGATTCATTTTGAAATAATATCTTTCAGTTATCGTTTGTTTGTCAAGAACGAAGGAACATTTGTTTATCCAACATTATTTGTCATCAATATACGCGAGTTGGTTCAAATATTTTTCTGTCGACATACTTCTCCTGCAATGAAGACAATTTGGTTCGCGAATTAATTATTTATACGGAAACAACTAACAATAACCCAGAGAGCTTCAATCCTGGTTTCAATCATTACCGTCTTTGTCACAAGAATATTTTCAATATATTCGTGGTCTCGAGAAAATCTCTGATTTTTAATTGAAGCTAGAGTGGTATTTGGTAAATGTTAATACTTCACAATTTGGTAGAAAAATTTCACACCAAAATATTGTATGAAAAATAGTAGAATAAGATTACCCTGATAATATACAAAATACCGACGTTGCAGCTGGTGGAAGTTCAAACTATTATTCTTCCTTCTCATTTCACTAACTACAAAACTGTTAGGTGACTTACTTCAGTTATACAAAATACTAAAAAATTAGTCAATAGTAGCTCAATCACTCACTTCTCCACAAATTCAATTAGCTGAATTGGTATTTTCTTACAAGGAACTCATCAACGTATAGAATGGATTTGGCATAATCTGAAGTAGCTTGTGAATGCCATTTTATCTATAAACGTCAAGAAATTTCTAGTGTTATATCATGCTCCCTTTCCCGAGGAGGATGACAAAATTTGCAGAAATTTGTCTAGTTGCTATGGAACGATACACAATACACGCTTTCAATTGGTCGAAAATGTTATTTGTCAAATCTTTATAAGTAATATCACGATGTTTTGAATATTCGAGATCATTCTGGCGCTGCATTTTTCATGACCACGAGTCTGTCAGGACGAGTGGTATTGCTGTACGGCAACACAATTGAGTTAACAATGAAATACGGAATCACGGGAAGATATTCAAAACAGAGTGGTATTTTGCTAGACTATTCCACGTTCACGGAGCATAAAAAGCATTCATTTCGAATGAGTGATTTTTTCTGACAAGTACAGCCATAAATATTTATACCAAGCTGACAAACTCTGCTCCGCTATCCATGGTTACACCCAGACTTTGCTTCGCTATCCATGATTACATCGTTACAAACATCAACGCTGATAGACCAATCAGATTTGAAAGACAGCTAATGTAATCGCGATAAGCACACTTTGTCTCCGGCTTGTGATTGGTCAGATTATGTGATGAGTGGAATAGTCGATGGAATTCATATTTTCGATTTGAATACAGGATCCTTAGGTTATACTCCCGATATTGAAACGACGCGGTGTATGGTTGGTAGTCTATACAATAATAGTTCTTTGATAGACACATTGATCGTTCATAGGGGTTATTAACAGTCAATTTCGTGAACATTAATCAAACTTGATAAAACAAGTCGACGAAAAATAAATTAAATATTTCATTGCCCAATTTTTTTTCGAATACCTGTTATCTAGTACATCATGATCAAATATAGTTTTTTGACAAAATGGCAATCAGTCGGTTCATGAGGCAGGGTCCCAAGTCACGGTCCGCCCCTGATTTAAATATCAAACTACAAAGAATCATAAATTAAATAATAGTGGACTATTTGCCATGATCTTCGGAAATCAGGTAGATACTATTTCAGTGGTTAGCAAATACCTATACTAAATTGAATTGTTAACTTAATATCTGTAGGTATGGTAGTTCGTAATCGTCGCCGGAATAATATACCTATTATACCATTCCGTACTCATTCTAGGTAGGTACATTATTTCGTGATAAGAGTAATGAAGAATCTTTTATAATTGCGTGTCTTCGAGACCATTATTTTTCATTAACGTCTCGATATTTTCCATTGTATGTTATAGATAGATAGATAATTTATTCATCATTAAAGTTTTTACAGAAAGTAGTACAGAAACTTATCAGACTAGTCAAACGGGAAATCAGACTTTACACAAGTCATGCTGAGGACAAAATATTTGAAAGAGAAAAATGAATAATTTCACACATTTGAGGAATACATTTACAATTTGGACAGTAATATTATATCAATACATTCAATCGATTTCGATAAAATGCTATAAAAGTCCTGAAAGGGAAAACATATGTTAACAGATTTTTAAAATACGTTCACAATACATTCACCGTTATTATTTATATCTAATCACACTTTACTAACATTCTAAAAATTCTTCAAACTTGGTACAGTGAGGAGCGATAGTTTGACAAAGATTTGTCGACAGCTCTCTCGAGGGTGCGCATACCCACCAGGCACCTGATTATTTTTTTCTGCATTATAAAAACCTTATGGGCATGACTTGAGTTTCTTCAAAAAATCAGACCATAAGTTACGATGGATTGCACTAACCCATGATAAGCAAGTTTGAGCACATTCAGAGAAAATGTATCCCTTAGCTGCCTGATAACAAAACAAACACTGCTCAATCTTGATACTAAATTATCTACATGCGGTTCCCATGTCAGCTTTTGATCCACGATGACACCCAAGAATTTAGCTTCAGGCACTTTTTTGATAGATAGATGATCTATTTTGATCAAAGGACTATAGTCGTAGCAAATGTTCTCTGGTAAAAATAGCATATACTGTGTTTTAGATGTATTTACCAAGAGGCCGTTTTTGTAACACCAATGGTGGAATTCTTGAGCACAATCATTTGATTTTTTAACAGATGCTTCCAGATCGTTTTCGGCTATCAGTTGATTTGTGTCATCAGCATAGATTACCATTTCGTTTGGAGAAGTACAAGAGTATATAATATCGTTCATGAATATAACAAAAAACAGGGGACCTAGGATCGATCCTTGAGGAACTCCCATTGTAACTCGCAGAGGATTAGATTCCATAGAATCCAACATGACTATCTGCGACCGGTTTTGCAAATAAGATGCTGCCCAGTCATTGGCTACACCTCTAATACCGCTGCGGTACAGTTTTTCAATAAGTAAATTGTGGTCAACTGTATCGAATGCTCGACTTAGGTCAAAGTACAGTGCTATAGGCATTTTCTCCTGATTCAGAAATTCATAGACTTGACAGAGATCTGTTATTGCAGAGTCAGTTGACCTTTTATTCCTGAAGCCATGTTGACAGTCTGCCATCAGCTGTTTATTTTCTAGGAAATCTCTCAGACGTATATTATATGTGTAGTCAATGACTTTTGCAAACTGTGATTGCAGGCGAATATTACGATAGTTACTCACATCTTTCCTAGATCCCTTGTTTTTAAATATTGGGACTGACTTTGATAACTTTAAGTCTTCAGGGTATTTCCCTTCAATGAATGAGAGATTGATAATATGAGAAAGTGGAAAGCAGATTATATCGCTGACTATTTTTACAACTTAACCATGAATTTCATCAATTCCTGGAGCAGGTTTCTGTGATATTTTATCAATTGTATTTTTTATTTCACATGGTGTGGTTGGATATAAGAATATTGAGAACTCTGAAAATGGTGCCAGTACAATATCATTCATATCAGGTTTGAAATTTTCAACTTTCATAAAAAAATTATTGAAGTAGTTAGTAATTTCACCTGTATCTGTGATTATTATATCATTTTCAATTAATTCCAAAGGAGAACTAGAAGTAGGGTCATTTTTTGTCTCCTTAATAATCTTCCAACTTTCTTTACATATGTTTTTAGCATTGTTCAATCTGTTATCATCATATTGTGACTTAGATTTGATGATATTTCCTTTGTATATTGCTTTTGATTGTCCATACCTCTCCCTGATGATATTATTGTTTGTCGATTTTACTAATTTAGACATATCACAGAGCATTTGGTGCAGTTCTTCAATCTCTGAGTTGAACCAGGGTTTTTTATGCGGATTATTTTTTATTATTTTGATTGGAAAAGTGTTATTCCAATGATATTTAAAGGTTGAGTGAAATGATGAAAATGCTTCATCAACACTACTTGCTGTAAATGTATCTAGCCATTGCTCAGACATTAGTATGTCTCTGAAGGATAACAAGTTGATTTCTGAATAGTTACGCATGAATACGGTTTCTTTTACGTTTTTTCCTAGTAACTGTAGTTGGAAATCACACATTTGAAAAGTATGATCGGAAAGGTGCGTACCCTCAATGAGAACTGCGTTAACATTTAGATTAGAAAAAATCACGTCAATAGATGTCGATGTTGTGGTTGTGATACGTGTAGGTGAATCAATATGGTTTTTCATACCAAATTCATTGAATAATTCATATGTTATATATCAATATCGAGTTTAGGCCTGTTGGAGTTGTATTCTATATCAGTGCTCTCGCCCGATTTCAATCAATATGTGAATTTTACGAAATAGAAATTTCATATTCATTTGGAATCAAATGTCTGATTGATTGCAATTAAAATGAATCAAAATACGAAGAACAAAAAAAACTGATAATAATTCATGAATGATAACTTACATCATCAGTATGAGCAAGACATGGAGAGAATATCCAAGAATTCTGCGTATCCATTTTTCCGAGTTGAGGGGAGCAATTGAAGTATCTTCGTTGAGTCTGCGATGTTGAGTGCACCATAAACTGACAGCAACACCAAATGGAAGGCAAAGTGAAGCCATTGCCCAGAAAAATATCCAAATAATAGCGACGATGTTAGCTTCGAGGATCTGGAATGATGCCGTATGAAAAATCATTTTGTTCACCTCCATAGCTCGGTCATCAAGAGATCGACTTTCTGTCCTAGTATCGAAAACCATCAAACCATTGCCATGGAGGTATTTCTTGTGCAAAATTCACTTCAATTTGATCTCTCTATTGGAACTCCATTGTCGAGTGTATTTTTTGTCGTTACTGAACTGAGTTCCAGTTGAAAACAATAACGAATTTGATATTTGGTAGTTGATAGTACTAGTGAAAATAGAAGGACAAGTTTTCCGTATATATAGGGTGTTAAAAACAATATTTGCCCTTCGTCATCATCACCTTGTATGACTTTACATAATGCCAACGTTCAGTGTTGTCGATGACTAACAAATTCTCAAAATTTCCAAGTTTTGTATCATGGCTATCAATTGATCTCAATAGATATCTTGAGTAAACCAACATCAGAATTTGGATAAAAAATTTGATTTTTTCATATAGTTCAACTCATTGTATCTTGAAAACGAAGCTCACATGAACATTTTTATTCATTTTATGAATTCTATCACGTATTGAATATTTCCATTACAATCATATACAGGGTATTTTCATTGGGAAAGGTGAATTCTTCATATATGGATAGGGGTCATTCGGGTGATTTTTCTTTCTGTCGGCGAAAACATCAGGATGTATAGGTATAGTTGTTGATAAGGCCTCAGCTATGATGAGATATTGTATTCTATATGAAGTCAAATAAGAAATATTTTGTCCTAATAACGAATATCTGATATTTAGACAGTGCGACCATCTTTAATAAGTCTAGTTGACTTTTGTTGAAGGTTAAGTTCATGGAACAAAGAAAACTATAATAATCAATTGTCCACATGCAATAAACCAATGTGGACATATTATAGACTTACTCGATCTACAGAGTCTAATTTGAAAATGTCTGAAAATTACGTTTCCTACTAGCACGTGCAAAAACTTCAACAGTTTGGTATAAGTGACCTGAAGCCTTCTATTTTTTATCTAATACACAATATAATTCGGTGGCTCGGGTTCAGCTCCTTGCTAAAATGTAGGCAGGTTTCTTGGTAATCAGATTACAGATTCAAACAAAACAGAACTATCCGATATTAGACAACTTTTCGATATTGGGTTACTTTTGACCTCGCTTTTGACTCTACTAGGAGGCCAGTATTCTCTCATCCAATCGGCATATTGACTCAATAACTATTATTTTGAAGAAATGTCGGTATTCGTATATTAACTAAGAAGCTCGAATGGATATCATTTGGTGAAAGATTGAAAGGTTCATCATTATCGAGGAATAGTATTTATTGTTCAACGAACACGGAATGATAGTCATTTCCCAAGAGAATGAAGTTTGCAGCATGAACCGTACGCGAATATTCCATATTCAGAAGACTTATAATATCTCAATAGAGGCACAGTTGAATTTAGTTTCTGCGGATCATTAACAGAACAAATGTGGAGTTATATTTTGTAGAGGTCATCCTCGTTCTCTTTTCTCATAAAACACTGCACAGCACGACAGAGAAAATTCGATTGGTGAATGAGAATTGTTTCAACAAAGCTTATATATCTAATGAACCATTGTCATGTAGTAGAATACAATAATTATTATTCCTGTATAGTTGAAGTTTCCATCGTGTTCACTATTGCAACTTCTTGTCTCATGTTAACTGAGAGACTGCAAATATTGAGTTAATATTTAATCAAATACGTGCTCCGGCCGCTAGCTATGCCAAGCTGTATGTGTCATATACTTGTGTTATATTTACCTGAATTGCCAGTAGATGTAATGGCATTTGTCCGCTCAAAACTTTTCGAAGCACATCTGGAACAAAACAAATATGCACTGTAAAAAACCGGTTGAAGATAGCATGAAAAATACTAACTGTTCAAAGTAATTATTACTATTAAGGTTTATCACTTCAAAATGTTTTTGAAATGATCACACTCGATTTCTGAGCTATAGTGATATCATTCTCTGTGAAACATGCTTTCAACGTTCAAATACTGAACCATTAGAAATAAGTATATATAAGTACGTGATTTTACTATGATATCACGTTATTTCAATACATGTTACAATTTACACATAAAAAGAAAAGATATCGTTGACCTTCGCCACGTCTCCAGTATTCAGACGTGTTTAGTTTCGGCTATGTTCAGATACTGTGATTTATACAAATTAAGGGTGAGATCATAGGGAATTTCATTGTGAATAGGTACAACATATCTACACACTACGTAACAATACAATGTATGGAGAATAGAAAACGCCTATCAAGAAATGAAAAATAACCCAGATGTCATTAATAAATCTGTAAACCACATTTCCATAAGAGAAAGAATGCGTATTCCAACAAAATGGAGGTCATTTGATCAGTAATTGAAGTGTTGTGTTTTTTCATGAGAGAGAGTATGTATAGTAGGTGAGTGTATAAGAAAGACCGTTTTCTTTTTTTATCATTCATATTATTGTTACGTGGTGGGTATAGGTATGTTGTTTTCTGGTTTCAATTTTGTTGTAATCACTGATTCCGATTCCGAAGTGATTCTCAACCTTTTTTGCCTCCTAATATCATTTTCCGGGAAATGTGGTGGTTCCATGGCTGTTGGCGAGCAGTGTATATCACTGAAGATGACCATACTGGATCATAGAGTACATTTCAGGTATATTACTTGCTCCAGCAGATTACAGGATCCCAACCCAACGATTACATAAGATACGGGGGTGTTTTCATGAAGAGTGAGGCAGAAATGAGATTTTCAGGACTGAAAATTGTTCAGGAAAAATATGAATAATTACTGAATTGGGCGTCCTGATTCAGAATCCGAAGTGATTTTCAACCTTTTTCGACTCCTAATATCATTTTCCGGATATTGAGGAGGTTCCATGGCTGTTGGCGAGCAGTGTATATCACTGAAGATGACCCCACTTGGTCATAGAGTGAATTTTTGGTATATTCCTCGCTCCAGCAAATTTCAGGATCCTTACCCAACGAATACGTAAGATGCAGGCGGATGCAGGGGTGTTCGCATTAGAAGTACTGTATTCGAGTGAATGAAAAATTCCAAAATTTAGGGGCCGGAATAACTAGAATGGAGATTCGATAAGAAATTGGGCTATAATAAATCTTAGCAAGTAGCTATGCACGTTTTTAAACCAGAATATTATGCAACTTATAGCTCGAGTTTCATATCATAACTTATCGGAATGTTTTCCAACTACACTAGGAAACTGTATATATTCAAGATTGATTGTGTTTCAGCAGAGTTTTTCTTAATTCGAATTCTTTCACATTGTCGATTTATTACTTTTCATATAGTTTATTTCCCGTGAATGAATAACGTTCTCATCTAAGAAAAAACTAGGTTAATAGACTCCAGTCCTTCTCTACCAATGTACATTCGATTACTTCCAATGCAAAGCTCTGAATCGTATCAAGCTTTCAGTTTACTCATCGTGCATCACCGATTTCTTTTATTCAGAAGCGGCAAGCGGCCATTTCTAATCAACCATTTTTGTATCGGAGGAACCGTTAGATGATAATGCGTACTTTTCAATCGAATTATATTATTCAATGAATAGATGTATACAGGGTGTACTATTTGAATCGAAACACATCCAAATTCTCCCAAAATCCTCTAATCAACTAATTATCCGATCAAGAACTTTGGCATGATTTAACACGTTGACTGCCACGAAGCCCAAACGTTGGGTTCCACATGCTTGGTTATATCAGCTCCGAAACCCTAACGTCTGGGTCTGGATACATTTGCACTTCATTCGATGAAGTTCGACGAGTGGGTTTCAGAAAGCATTAAAGCCAATAGAGCGATATTACGAGGGACCTGGTAGACTTAAATAGTAAATTAGCCTACGTATTTTTGTTTTTCTTTTGCGGATATGAAAGTAAGAAAATTATAGTATCAAAGAGTTGATATATTATTTGATAAACGAACACACATACAAATACGAATACATATAATAAAATATGTTTTCTAATAGTTTCATTGATATAAAATAGTTTATTCACAATTTGGACGCTTTGTATCCTTCAATAAAATATGGCAAACAAAAAAACGCGCTCACACTGTTGACATTTGTATCTTGATTTTGGCGCACTCAGTTGGGCTATATACTTTTCTTCCTTCTTCCTGCTTTTCATCATGTGTGAACAATAATATCCTTGACTGCGCATGACGGGGCCTTGTTTTGCATGAAACCCTCATATGGGTTTCGTGCAAAACATTTTCGAATCAATTTTTCTTCGATTATTTCTATTTTTATGATAAGTATCATACATGAATTACATAAGTACAACCAGATAATCCATTTACATTGAATTTTGTGTTTGGGCCCCATGGACCAAAACTTCAAATGTATTGTGGGCAGTTAACGTGTTTAAATCGCACACAAAATCACCTCCATCTCTATAGACCTCTCTCTTCAAACTTTTCGAATGCAAGTATATGACGATTGACATCACAGTCATCATCTTTGGAAAGTTATTCCGTTCGTGATTTGATTGACGCATATATTCGAGATATTCGATATTGGAAGTTCGAGCAAGATTATACTTTGCAATATTTTATGGGTGAAGTTTTGTTGTATCATATGAATCAGCACCACCGTGTTGCTAAATTCAACAGTGATTTTCATCAAGGTCACCTCCCAGCGGGCGAAAGTACGAGACAATAGAGAGTTGAAGTGTTGTCATGAACGTTAACGTAAACGTAGAAATTGACAGCTACGCATGCGCATTTTCCAATTCTTCACGTTCGCGTTGTTGGTGGGATTACGGGTGTACGTTATCTCACGTTCCTTCACGTATACCTTAAATATCAACGTACGTTAACCAAACTATACTCGAAATATGCCGATGAGTCAAAATTATCAAATTCGAGATCACCAACGAGTTCTGCATCAAGGAGTCCTCTGATTTTGACAGGAATAAATGTTCGAATCTAAACACACAACCAAAAATGACCAATACAAACCGAAAACAAAATGTATTATTACGTTATGATGACAGTGACGACCAAAGTGGCGACTTCAACTCAATTTAACGACAATACGTAAACGTTATTTTTCGTACGTTAACGTCGACGTGGAGGTCTACGTACAGTGATTACTTCAACTCTCTATTGAATCTCCACTGCGATGTTTTGTTTACACATGAATAGAACTTTCACGAACAGCCAATGTCCACCGCAGGCAGCGTTCATAAAGATATCCTTGGAATGTCGCAAAAATACATTCTCCCTGTTTTTTTTTTATAGCCTTCTCATGGACTCAACATCACCTTTCCAAAGCGTCTTGCGCACATTTAATCGCGAATTCATTATTATTATTATTATTATATTATTATTATATTGGGGCTATAAGAGAATAATAGGATGAGACGATCAGGCAAAACATTCGAATATTGATTCAATAATGATATCCAGAATATGTGGAAATGAATCTTCATGGAATATTTGTTGCCTGGTTGGAAATACTCTATGAACATTCCATGAAATTCAGAATATTCAAAGAAAAGTACGATCGTTGTGAACGATTTCAGAATATTCGTAAAATATTCTGTTCAGTTTGGGATATCATCACAGATCATGGACGACACGTCTGTTCGTTTTTGATTATAGAATGAATAATACACCTCTATATTTGTCGTTGCTTCTGTTCTGAGAGTCGTTGGTATTGTAAAAATGGGATAAAATGACGCTGCAAACGAGAATGCAAACGAGAACAACGAAATCGGAAAGGAATCAGAATTCATCGTATATTGTGTAAGCGTGAGACGTTGCGGTGGGCAAACACATAAATGGTACAAAAGAAATGAAAACAATACCTTCATTATCTTACGAAGACCTCTCTGGGAGATGCATATTACGTCTCAAAGAAACATCCTCATGCCAACATTTTTGACACATCCCAAAACTTCCCAGGGATACTTCCTCAAACAAAGAGATGCTACAGAAGAATAAGATAAAATTTTCAATATAACCTCTACGAAAATGCATATCACGTCTCAAAATGAAAATTGATGCCTGAATTTTTGAAACGAACAAGTAATGCCACAGTAGAACTAATAAAATACGTCTCGAAAAAACATGCCAACATTTCCAAAACATCCCTAAACATCCCAGGGATGTTTGTGCTCGCTGAGCTACTCTGCGTGTATTGCTGGATTTGAATAATACATGATTGTATTTGATTCGTAGAACAAGTGAATTTCACGTGATGACAGGTTCATTTTGATCGGGATATCAAGGAATGGATGATAATGATAACGATAACGTTCCATATAATATTTCAGAATCACTCAATTCATGAAATTCACAACGTTGGTACATTGAGGTGAGTGATCTCCATCCCAACATATAATGAGTGAAAAATCTCCCATACTGAATGCACCATGTGCTCCTGAATAGGTACATGTTAATTCAATTTCGTGATTATTTTGAAAAACGAATTCACATAAAAAAAAATGCTTCCGCCATTTTGAGACATATAAGTTGTCTCAGGTCACGTGGGTTAAGGTGAGTACTTTGCGTTGATGTACTTATGAAAAATGAAATAATTTTTCAACCAAACAGACCCATTGAGATGATCGACATTCGCGTCATTGTGCTTTCGGAACTATATATTATGGAGGTGACTACAGCATAGTTACTGTGTTCTTGGGATCTTCTCTCCACGCCTCTACGAATGAATATATCTGTGGAATTTCAAAATAATGAAGACAATCCAGATGATTTGTCCCGAAATATCACTGCGCCTGGGTTTTACAATAAAAAGTCTCGTAAAGCAATTCAATCGATAGTAAATGGTAATTACTATTGATAACTTCTGGAGAATATCTTGAAGAATACTGTAGAGTCAGCTGACATCCATTCCTCCTTCAGGTATACTGAGGATGGTAACCGAGTTGCCGAAATACGTATTCAGTCAGTCTCCACAGTATATCCTTCGTCGATACGAATACCGAATTTTGATTTACTATGAATATTTCCAATTGGTGGAAGAATACAACGACATGAATTGGTCATGAGATAGACGACCATAGGATTTCCCGTGTTGGATATCAATAGGATTCGAGGTCCATAGGATATCCTGTGTTGAACATTAATGTATTCATATTGATCGGGTTCAACCCGGTATGACAGCAATCTACTGTGTGGCTCGTGATGATTGATATCTTCTACGTGGACCTCCGGCCACTAGCTGGCGTTAACATAACTGGCGTCTTTGAAATAAGCGATATTTCCGAAACGTTAAGTTGTCTCATTTCAATGCTTATAGTAGTCATAGTCTTTGGTCTCATTCATCAGCTGACCGAGAGCGGCTGATGAGCCCTCTGGTGGGTCTGAACAGTAGTGTCTCGCGATCGCTTGCAATAATTGGGCCAACTCTTTCCATCCTTGATTTTTTGGTTTGAGATTCACCCCTTTGAACGAATAATACGTTCTCCATCTGCATTTTCACAAAGGAATTTCTCTAAATGAATAATGGCAATCGAAATTTCAGCAAGAATCGGTTTCTTTTCTTCATTTCGCAGAACAAATTATAGAGGCAGAGTAATACTTATTTCGAGAATGCAAGTATGCTATGCTATAGAAAAAAAAATAACTAATTTCTTCAAGAATGAAGCATTTTAATTAGTTGGCTTGATTGCGTCTCTCGACTTATTCTCTAGCTACAAAATTCACCAAGCGTGAAGTGAGTGGATATAAGTATCTCTTTCCTATGAGAGACATAAAAGTCTACTTTACCTCTCGCATTTTTGTTCTGGAATGAATACTTTTCTGTACATGATATGGAAATGATTTGTTTGTTCACTGCCTGAGTTTTTTACTGAAAAACCTCGTGAATCTCCTGGAAAAAATAATTCGAAACAGGTTCATTGAAAAACTTGACTGAGAATATTATTTATTCGGAATATTGAATTAATTCAAACGAATGCCATTTCCTTGGATTAGCCAAAACATTGCCTTGGATGGCGATGCACATGTACGATTATAATACATTCACTCTATTTGAGAGATAATAACAGTCATTAAATATAAGTTGATTTATAGGTATCAGGTGGATATTTGTACTTATTAAACAATGTTCTTTCCCTAGTCGAATTCTGATTCTTGATATCAATGATTGTTCAAAAACTTCAAGTTCTTCCTCAGAGTTACGAATCAAACATGTTTCATGCATGTGGTTATCGATACTCTCGAGATTATCAAATTCGGCAACACGATACGTGAAGAATAATATGTTTTACGTTTGGTAATAGCTGTTCCGTAGTTGCTATCACATCGCATTCCACATGTCGGATCAGTTTGAAGTTTCATGCCAATCAAGTACATTTTCATTATAATCCAGAGTCCAGATCGATTATCGTCAGAGATATTTATCCAAGCAACATTTCCTATCAACATGATATGTCTTGGTGAGTGTTCCTAATAGCACTCTGAAGTCACATGGATATTCATAGAACGTCCCGCCGGGACATTTATGCGGTATGGTACTGCGGACATCCATTGTACGTTCGTGGGTAGTACGTATATCCCGACACTCACCAGGATGTTGCTCAGGGATATACATTGGACCTCTTTGGGAAATCATCCAATGGAAGTCCTTTGAACAAGTTCATAGAACATTCTGTTTCCTCACCGAGGTCATTCATAGGACATCCTTCGGAGCGTCCTCTGTAATGTCCATAGGATGTCATCCGGAACGTTCATAAGACATCCTCTGAAACATCCATGAGACGTAGAACGGGCATAGAACGTCCCTGAAACTTCTATAGGACGTCGTCTGGAATGTCCATAGGATCATTAGCTTGCGTGAAGGACATTCATAAAGTGTTATGGAAAATCTGTTGCTATGGTGACCGTTGTCATGGTAACGGGTAAACAGAAATCCCGTAGTGAGGAAATGCGTGGTTGCCAATTTTTATCGGGTTTAGTATAGCTGAAATCAGTTGTGAAAAATTTTGCAAATTTGCTTTGGAATGGAAAATTTACATGTCAAACAAAGTGTCACTTTTGATCCTAATAAAACAATTTACTATTTCAATTTTGACATGTAATTTGACACTTTTCAAAACTGACGGAAGTTTTGAAACGTCTCACTTCACGCATAGATTCTATGCTTCATGTAACCAGTTGCTCAAAATATCACATAACTGGTGATGAGATGGTCATTTTAACATCATATTTATTGAATGAAAATATGAATATACGAACAGAATAATACATTTTGTACTGCTTCCTCGACATCACATGGGGAATCTGAATTCGAATAATCAGGCATTTTCCACTAATGAAGATATCGAACGAGTTCATTTCCTGAAATTCGTCCCTTTTTTGTTACCATATTATTATTTGACGGAAACTTCAAAGTGACGGGCGAAGTCAACTTGCCTACTAAACTTCGAACTTAATCGGTAGAATTAATGTAGAACATCATTCCTGTTCAAGGGCAATTTTCCATCAAAATTCAAAACGATATTGTAACTTCCTCATTTTGCGGGACGAGAGAAGCTATACACAAAATTTTATAACTGGCTACGTAAATATAATGGAGTTCAAATGAGAGTATCATATTATTCAATATTTAAGGAAATTCGAAAGTGATCCTTCTCAAATTCGTCAGGTTTATCTGAGATGTATCATAAAGGTGCACCAGAAAAACTCAACTGCAAATCAATCGGGAACAGTTCATTTGTCACAATATCACAAGGATGCTTCCTTCATTTGAGGAAATCACTCCTCAGAAATATCTAGAGGAATATTCATCGAAAAGTGTTTTGTAACTCCTGTAGGTAAGTATAATAGGGGAGTTTATGTATTCTTGTAAGTATTTTCGAATAGTCCTTTCGTAACGAACATAAATCTGGACCATACCTGACTCTTCAACTAAACATATCATTTCATTGATGTAATTATAAATAATAATTGTATTCCACAAACATCCTTTCCTTCGAATTTCGACACTGGTTGAAACTATTCCTTGTCTACGGTGGATTAACTCAGCCCCATTGAGCTCATTCTATTATTCGACTGTCGAAGATCACTCACCTAAAGGAAATCCAGACGGTTGTAAATACGCCATCAGCTTGGAGAAGGCTTCGAATAACAAGTACTCTTCATCGAGTCTCAGCTCATGGAAGCGTAAGTCGTCTCCCTTGGGAACATCGAGAAATGGCAATCTCGAATCCCTGACGTCGGAAGGTGATTTCGTATTATTTCTAAATCTGATTTTGTTATCTTTAATGTCGAAATTTGACGTTCTGATGTCTGTCGTTCCAGATTTGTATGAGTGCAAAGCCGTGGAACTGGAAAATCTGGAAAATGAATAGAATAATTCGCACAGAAATGAAAGAACCTACAGAGTCGTCACTAGTTTCCGGATGTTTAATACAAATATACCTTTAACGTATATATTATGATCAAATGGAATTGTGGAGTTTGGTATTGGACGATGAAGCGAGTGTATATGTGGGATCATGTTTCAGAGTATTTTACAGCTAGCTATGATATCATAGGGAAACAAACGGAACACAAAGTCACTCACTTTGAGACATAAAAGATTTTAACGATTTAGCTATATTTTCTTGTGAAAACTTCCAGTTTTCCACCCTCTACTAAGATATTTTGTTTCTATAAAATCTCTCTGATCTTCTTATATCTTGACCCGTACCTACAGTTTCAGCTATACGAGGTGGAAATAAACTTCAGATATGAGAGTTGTATAGGGTTTCATCTGCACTATCACTTAGTACTCCTTGAATTCGTTTATTTATGAAAATCGCAAAAAAACAAAATGATTAAAGTCCGAATCAGTCTTTTCAACTTTTGTGAATTTTTTTTTGGCGTATTGGATCAAATTCTTGCGGCACTATTGAAATTTTTGCAATATTTTCATAATATAAACGGCCTATCTCGTATTTTTCAACTACGGAATGATCCTTTTTTATTAAAAAACTAGCAGAGACGTCAAAAAATGCCTGCTTTGTTCCCTTGCCACTTCTGTTGTGGCCACAGCTAAATGTTATTCACAATTTTGATTCAATGTTAAATGAATGAGAAATGACTTGGAGGAACATTAGCAAACTATATATATTCGTGAACAGGAAACAAAGATCTCTCACTGAAGTTGAAAATATACAGAGCTTTCCATTTAAAAAACTGTTTTGGACGTTTTATCTATTTTGCGATTCGCATTTCATTATTTAAGGAGTGCCAGAATATAGTACAGATGAAACCCTACAACTTTTTCCACCTCGTATAGTTGAAGCTGTGAGTATTGGTCAAAATATACAGTGATAGCCTGATGTACATAGAAGAAATGGCTCAATCTCTGGATCAACAAAGTGGTCAACAGTTGATTTTACTAAAATTTGCAAAAAAAACTTGCCTATCCTCCACGTTCTGCGAAGTTCTGCATTATAATCAATATTCATAATCTAGACAACATTGTATATAATATGCCATGAGCAGGATGAGTTGGAAACACTGGAATTCTTTATTAGTATATCTTCAGCAAATAGTCCTATAGGAAGCAACACCTCTTAAAGAAGTACATTCGAAAATGTATGTTCTCTAGGAATAAAGGGTGTCGTCTGCGATATTTTAATCATTTGCATTTGTCATGAGAAGATATGGGAATATGATTCCTGTTCTTCATCACTGAGCCACTTGATATCCAATAAGTTCCATAAAATATATCTGATGAAGAAGTAGGTAGGTACCTAATTAAAATTCAACGAACTAACTCCGATTTATACACACATATTCATTTCAAACATTTCTGACTTCTTGAAAATCAGAAAACGTCACTTCGAAGACTAACAATAACCATTACATCTTTGTGACGATGATAGTTCCTGGAAGAAATCAATCTCTCATAATCTCTGCTTCTATCTGAGTATCTCCCAGCATCCATTCACGATAGTGGTCTATGAACGATATTGTGAGAGTATCAATCTGAATAAGGCAAGCTAATAATAATAATATTATGTTCGATCCAGACCAATGCTATCATTTATTTTTCTCTCAGAGATAAACTTATCAAAACAAAACATTATCATCAAAAATAACCAATAATGCTGCTATAATATTGAGTTATATCGAAGTGTTGATGTATAAGTGCTCAAAATTGGTAAGAAAACTTTATTTATTCTGCACTAATGAAGGCTGTATTTTGAAAGATATGTTGTATCCACACTGTAGAAAGCCAGTAATACCTAGTTCCAAATTACCATATAAAATAACCAACAGTTCTGCTATAACATCGAATTATATCGAAGTGAATTTGTTGAGAATACAAATGAATTTCATACCAGGAGCTGTTGGAAGATATGTTATATTTCAAATCCACGAATCTTCAAACTGTTATTCTCTCAAATAAAACATCTACGAACAGATACATCCATACTTTTCTAGACTTCTGAGATGATTAGGATATTTTTTGAATTGGCATATTTGTAAGGCACGGTGAATCACATTCGTTTCAGGTCAAATGTTTGAAATTATATTCCCAGTTATATGTATAGTGAAGAAATATTCATTAACAATGACGAGATTATCAAAATATTACATGGTCTTGTTATATTATATCACATGTCCAGAATTCTACGAAAAATGATTAGGTACTATATTCTGCCAACCAGACGTCGAACCCTCAATGAAATTCTGGATCAGCTATTCTTTCAACTATTTATGTAATGAGTCATGATTCAGTACTGATCAAGTATTGTGAGAAGTTAGGGATAAAGAATGTCAGTCGGCGACAATTTGAGGATGATGAGCATCATTAGAAGTATTATGTAATAATAAGTGATGATTTAGTACGTCTACATTCATCAAGTATTTTTAGTGTTCAGAGTTAGGAAGAACAATCATTCGATGACAATTCGTGTTGTAGATGGTTAACAGAAAATGTACAATATTGCTGTTGTTGGATGTGGCGTTGTAGGAATTACATCAGCTCTGGCAATACAAAACAGAGTGAAGAAATGTACAGTGACAATATACGCTCATGAAGTTAGCCCAAATACAACCACAGACATCGCTGGAGGCTTATGGGAACCATACCTATTGCAGGAAACACCAGAAGAAAAAGTTGCGGAATGGTCTAAAACAACATATGACTATCTTCTTCGATTATGGATTCAGGGTAATGACACAAAATATTTCAAGATTCTGTGATATATAATCATAAGACTATATATAAGACGTAACATATTGCGCACCTAATGAAAATGTTTCAAGATAATGTCGGGAAGAATGCTTCCTGAAAAAATGTTGAACATATTTTATTGACAATTTCATATAATTCATTGAAAACAATGAATTTTGTTGGAGACATATATTCAACCATGATCGATACTGTTCAACAAAACACCTGAATGCAATTTTGGAGCCATTCATTATCGTTTGTATTGATTCATTCAACTTCTCCAAAAGTGACTGTATCAGAGCTTGAGTTTAATATTCAGAATTCCATATACAGAAACCCTATTTTAGCGTTTCTAGAAGTATTGTTACAGAACAATCTCGACTTCATCTTACTATTGTCGTTTTGAATTACAACCTAGTTATCTAAATATTTGGTAGACTGAATTTAAAATCAAAGGCAGATCAAATGATGATGATCATTTTTGATCTAATGAAAATATGATAGAAATTGGTCAACATGCTTTTGATGTTGAACATTGATCCAAGAATATTTTGATATCAATTGGACATAAATTGGATGTTCATAGGATATACTGTGTTGTATTTTAAGTACTTGTTACCCCAGAGATTTGATTTCATAATTTTGACCAGATACTAATACCAAGAACGAAATCATAACAAATGAACAAATATATTCCAATTCAAATGGTCCAGCAGTGAAATAAATCTATGTTTCGAGAGTTGTTCTGGGTAACTATTTTTCAACCATATAATTGAGTACATTCTGGAGCTTATCAAAATTAACTCCATTTAGTCGAAATCATTCTGAAGAGCAGTATACACATATATCATGTGAACTCATCCCCGATCATTCATTATTTCATCAACAAATTGGGAAAATGATGCATAATTCTAATTAGCGATAGTGAAACAGGAACATGCCATTACAGAACCGTATTAATTTTCTGATATGATCAAATTTGCTGATGAGTAATATGATATAGTAATAATGGAAACAGTAAATCTGCTTATATAGTTAATGCTTTATAACAATGAGAGCTTTGTTGGATGTTTTCGTATAAGCAACAGATCAACAAGACATCAGGGAGGATGTTCTGCTTCTATTCATTACGGGCATTATATTGTTGAAATCATTTCACAGGGCTATCTGAAAATGAAAATATGTCATTCAAATATTTCAGGCAAAGCTGGTGATGCTGGAATATGTCTGCAGCCAGTAACTACTGCAACAGATAATGAGAACTATCAACGCCCCAATTGGTTAGATTCAACTCTGGGACACACTATGATGTCAGAAGGAGACCTGATGATGTTATCCAAACGTTATGGTACAGAGCTAGTTGGTGGAGTGACGTTCATGTCTTTCATGTGGGAGGGAGCTACCTTACTACCATTTTTGCAAAAAGAATTCATAGATAATGGAGGCAACATTGTTATGAAATACATTGAGGATATCGAAGAACTATCAGGCTATGATGTGGTGGTGAACTGTACTGGATTAGGAGCCAATAAATTAATGGGTAATCACCTCGATAATATAGCTCATCAGGTTATGACAATTGCTTCAGATATAATATTTTCAAACGTACAGTTTCAAACAAAAATTTCAGAATAGTTGAAAGTTAATGTCAAAATTGGACACATATAATGTTCAACTCACTCTACTATTATTCGATGCCCTATTTATGTCAAACCATGAAGAAGTAGAGAATCGTTAAGAATTACCACTTGAAGGATATCATTTTGGCCATGATGTGTCCATTACTTCATTAGGATAATTCATTCTTCACCTTTCAAACAATGGATGTATGTATGCAGAAATACATTGAGAATTCGCATTCGCTATGTGATGAAAATATACATTTCTCCTCAGTTTTCTCAACAGAAAACAACTACTTTCCTGGCTATATGCCACGACGAACAGTGAATTGAATCTATAGAACACACATGATAAGATTTGAAAACAGAATCTTCTGAAGTTGAGAATTTGCTGTCTCCTTCAGATAAAAATTTGTATATGCACATAATATCATCCTCATTTATAATTATTTCCATACATTACAAAACTGAAAAGTCATGATGCGTACGATTCAACTTCATCCTGCTGCTTCATAGTGAAAAGTCATGATGCGTACGATTAAACTTCATCCTGCTGCTTCATAGTGACTGGCTTCAATTCAATAATTGTTACACGAATATTACTTCTCATTGGATTTTATGAAAATAACAAACATTTCATATGGAATCTTGGATATTGAATTGAAGATAAACATACGAAACTCCATTTTTGTTGACATATGATGATTAAAACGAGGACATGGAATAACACTCATCTTCGTTTTTCAGGTGACACGAACGTGAAACCGATCAGGGGACAAATTATAAAAGTGAGAGCTCCGTGGATATTCCATTCTTTCCTGATAGACAGTGAAAAGTCAGGATACGTTCTGGGAAACAAAAATTTCGTTATCTTAGGTGGAACTAGGCAACATGACGACAGCACCAAAGTAGATGACGATGACAAGAATAACATATTGAGGTTAATGACACCATTTCGCTTATGAGAGCAACACTTCAATTATAATAACTCCATCAACCATATCCAACTTTTTTTTAACGATTTAGCATAACATTGAAAGTGGTAAATAGTAGACTTGACTACCTTCTCGAAGAAGCCCTTTGAGAACTATATTATAGAATTGTTGGTATAAGTTTTCGATACGCTACACAGCACTGAGAGAAATAAAGGTTAATTCCCAATGCAGCGTTGTTGCTTCAAGTGTCGCCTGTCATGCAACCTGATTGGTGACACAGAATTTGAAAAATATTTTTTCTGATTTTGACATGTGATGTGACACTTTTCAAAACTGACGGAAGTTTTGAAACGTCTTACTTTACGTAACCAGTTGCGTAAAGTAAAATTTTACATAACTGGTGATGTAATGTTCATTTCATTCATTCATTTCACACAACAAGAGTCGGCAGAACTCATGTAAAACTTGTCATTATTTTTGTTCATGCGAAATGTTTCGTCAAAATTAGAAAAAATATTGTACGTGACACGTTAGGAAACGCCATTTTGTGTAACTCTGTGATGTTGCGGGATCTCGCTTCGCTCGTTACACAAAACAACGCGTTTCCTAACTGATTACGTAAATATCTTTGACGCGATGAAGTTGAACTATTTCATTTTTTGTCGTTGCTGTTACTTTTGTTGTGTAGAGGTTATATTTCAATAACCTTAATAGGCATTAAAGCATTCTAAATTCTATCAACCTATCAAGAATTTCCATGAGAATATAGAAATTTTTGAATGCAACTCCATTAAACCCTCATTTCTGAGAGTAATCTCACGGTTACTGAATCATTGCAGTGTCACTGAAGTAGGTACCTACCTTATTATCTCATTTTCACTGTGCTGTTTCCGTTTTTTGATGAATTACGTAGCTGATGCAGCTCTGAGCTCTTTATATCTTGGAAGCATTATACTATATTTGACGATGATACTGATCACTACGATGGTGACTAGATATCAATATCAAACTCTAGCATGATTCGGATTCATGCCTATTTTAATTATTCGTGAACTCTTCTATGATTATTGAAGTTTATCAATCAATATACATATTTCAGTGAGATTCATAACCGTTTGGAAAGTGTCTAATTTTGGGATTCACTTTGTAATTTGATTTGTTGCAAAACGTTTCTCAACCATACAACTATGATTTCATCATCTCTCAGTAGATTTCACTTTGCAATCTATGGAACTGGAAGAAAAAATGTTCAACATTTCCTTTTTCCTTCCCTTTTTTAACGATCATCACACAATCTTGCTTCCCAACACTATTTTCGTTATCTATTGCCGCGAAAGAACATTTTTCACCATGGGAAATGTAACAAGAGAGAGTTCAGTATCTAGAAAGAAGGTTGGAGATTGAAAATGTTTTATGTTTCCAGGAATTGCTCGAAGCTTGTGCCCTCTATAAAGTCTGCAGAAATTATAGAGCATCAGGTTGGCTTGAGGCCAGCGCGCAATAAGGTTCGATTGGAAGCCGAAATTAAAAGAAACGGGGATAATGAGGTGAGGATAGTACACAATTATGGACACGGAGGAGCTGGAATTACACTCTCAGTAGGTTGTGCAGAAGAGGCAGCAAAATTGGTGGAACAGATGTTGACGGAAAAATATAAGAGTAAATTGTGAACATGATATATTTCGTCTTCCAAGACTTCGTGAAGATGAAAAATTGTACGATTTCATTAAAATCAGTTACTCACCGAAATAATATCATTCCGGTGAGTAACTGATTTCAATGAAATTTGTTGAGGTCATTAGTGTTCTGAAGTTTGATTGAATTCAATTTGATATTTCAATATGTTCGAATAAACTGGTTCCGAAATATTCTGTGAATGTTGAGGAATTAACACCGAATGAAACACATCATATTTCGTTCGAGTCGATGAACATAAAGGAAGTCGATGTGAGTTTTGTTGAGAAAAAAATATGACCTTGCGTTTAGGTTAGGGAAACGTTGTTTGCCACGAATATATAATGTCAGGTTTGTCTTACTCCCATCAAACAGCATTCACCTCAGACAACCTCTTGAGGTTTCTTTTTTTACCCGTGATATACATCAGGGATATCCACGGTGGATGACCTATTAGAAGTATCTGGAGAACGAAAAGACAGAACATTCTGGAAATTGAGATGCTTCGATAATTGAACATTCTCTATCCGTCTGAAATATTTCCATCGATAGAGTGTTGCCACTTCTATCAGAAGCAACTGGCAACTTCGTTATTCCAAATAGAACACCTTGTATTTTATTGCATTTTCACATTCTCCCTGAAGAGCTAATTTCATCGAAGCATTTCGTTTGGGGTCTAGCAGGAATACTTTAATACAATAAAATACAGGGTGTTCCATTCGAAATAACAAAGTTGCTAGTTGTTTCTGATAGAAGTGGCAACACTGTATCGATAAAAATATTTTAGAGGGTTAGAGAATGTTCAATTATCAAAGCATCCCAATTTTCAGAATGTTCTGTCTTTTCGCTCTCCAGATACTTCTAATAGGCCATCCACCGTGTATCACCCTGTATATCATTGCTCATGGCTCATAAATATTAAAAACTACATGAGAACAGAAATATCACGACAATAATGAAAACATATTGGCTGAGAGACCCAAATCGATGATTCTTTGAAATACCTATTCCTTTCAAGTATAATAAACTGACTGACAAAAATATATATTTCTTAAGAATAGGGAATTAGGGAACCTAATACACTGTTGATAAAAATCGATGCTTCTTGGTAAGTCAATTAATTCAAATTCAAATAATTTCAATAATAAAATCAATTCATATCAAAAATGAATATACTTATATGTATACTCATATACCTACCTATTTGATAAATATATATTTTCTCTGTGACGGGAAAAAAGTTTGGCATTTCATATCTGTTGGCAGGTTATAAAATGTCACTTTTCATAAATTACTTTTTTCCCGTGGGAAAAACGTGAGTACTTTCTTCCCGGATATATATCACATATATACACTGTTGATGACTTTTGTTGTGCTATAGTTCCGAAAAATGAGTCAATAATACCGTCTCCGAGAAAGAACTGCAAGTCCTTTTATCTCCCATTCGACTTCGCGGTTACGTATATTACTAAACAACCACTAAATTCGCAATTTTTCGAAATCAAATCACAGAATTAGACTGACAGAAGTGACATCAGATATTTGATTACTTCAAAAGAATGATAAAGATGCCTACAACGCAGGTGTCTCTACTGTTAAAAACTTAAAATTTCACGTCGATAATTTTCACATTTCAAAATAATGTAATATCTTCCAATATTGATTCGTTCTTCCTTTTGTCACCAAAAAAATAGCGTATTATACACGGGAAAAATATTAGATTTCAGCTCACGGTTTTTTGTCTCCCTCCGCTACGCATCGGAAGACAACACAACCTGGAGCTAGAATCTACTTCTTTTTTCCCTTGTATAATAAATAACTAATCATGCATGTAGGTTACAAAAATAGAAATCAAATATCGCGTCTAGACTGAAAAGGCTAGATTCCAGGAAGAAGGGCGGTTGCTCCCCCTTGCCCTCAAGTGGCAGCGCCCATGATAACCCTATATATTAAAATAAGTGTCAGGAGAGCCATTCATCATTATCGCTTTCGAGAGCTTACAATAGAAGAACCCACTACAACGTATCAAGAGGCCATTGTTCTTCCTTATGTTTATATCCATCCCGTTGAGTTTTTCACTGAGAAATTGCGAACAGTGTTGGCTCTCTGAAGTGACAAAAAGTCTTTTGGCAATCTTCATCCACACTTCATTGAATTTCACGCTATATCTGTCGTTCCGATAAGATACTCTGAAATATCTATCAAAGTATTTCAGCAAAGTGCTTTATACGAAATTGAGGTGTCACTAGATGCCAACTCTTTCGTGAACTTGTTAGGAACACAGTGGATGGAAAAACTTCTGAAAGTTTGAACAAATAGATGAATGGGCAAACAGGGAAATAAAATACTCACTTATTCAACGACATCCGTACATCAAAAGTACAATTCCTCAATTTATCTGTAGAATAATACTAATAGTCTGTACCAAATTTCTCTCTGAGGAAAAATCAAGCCTTTGTGTTTTCTTTTCGATTCGGATCAAGTTGTTGGTTTCGCTATTCCACGAAAATTAAAATATTGACACGGAATAATTTCATCCTAAGGTATTTGTTTGGATTGAGGATAATACATTGTCTGAGTTCAAGGTCGACTATGTAATTCTTATTATTTCATTTGAATAATTATATTTATTTATTCATTATACTTGGTTAACAAGACTGCAATTCTTCCTACAACGAAGTATATTTATATTGATCATTGGTTGATTGATATTGTTCATTAGTGGTGAATCTGCATCAAGAATTAGCAGCAGACTAGTGTATGACGACAAGTTGCTGCAAGAGCCTCCATACATTCTGAATGATTCCATATACCCGATAATAGTAGTAAAGGCGGTCTGCCCCATGAACTTATAATTAAGTTTAGTGGGAATGAGGTCTATGACGCTATCAAATTGTCGAAACCAAAATCTACAAGGAGACGAGACTGGATAACAGCGTTTATAACTTGAGACTGCGCCTTAATACTTTCCCGACCCTTATAAGTTTTAATAAATATAATGTCTCAAATCCAAATATTATTCGACAACTTGGAAGCTGTCAAAGGTATCTTCTATATATGTATGAAAAAAGTGATGGAAATAACCTTTCAACTAATTTCGATCATATCTGCAACTCTTGCAGAAGTCGAAATTATTTTGGAACGTAATCTGTCCTATAGTATTAACAAAATCATTTCTCCGTTTCATCATGGTTTTTTGAGAGGTCATTCAACGGTTACAAATCTGATACAGTTACTCGATACATTTCTGAGAATATTGAAAATCGAGCCCAAACAGACGTCATCTACACTGACTTTTTCAGAGCATTTGACAGACATGCCCACGGAATTTTTATTAACAAATTCAAAGCATTTGGCTCATCTCTCTCTATTTCTGATTAACTTATTCAAATCATACCTCAATAATCGTAAGCAATATGTCTAGTTGAACGGTTCCAGACTGTCGAATAGTCTGCAATATCTGGCGTACCACAATGCTCCAATCTGGGGCCACTACTTCTCAACATATTCATCAATGACATTGATAATGTTATTGACATGAACTTTTTGTTATATGCGTATGACCGAAATTGTTAACAGCTGGCTGTCAACCTGGTTGAATATTAGGAAGGTGTCAAAATAACATTTGATCAATCTATATCGTTTAATGATTCGATTGACTCAATCCTGAAATTTGCATATCGAGCATACGGGTTCATCCTTAGCAACAGTCGTGTTCATACGTTCGAAGATTGAATATACATCGGTTGTTCAAATCACCCCGAATGGAACGCAATGGAATGCCTTATCACAAGGTGGCAGAATGTGTACCATGACTCTGACTTACCCTGTAAGCAGCGATGATACAGGATTTTTGAGAGTTTGTGTTCATTCGTTTGTGGTGATACGTTCTCTTCACTTTAGGTTCAAAAAATTGTTACTCGTTGTTCATTATTCAGAATAGATACACTTTTCATAAAAATTATTGAGCAAAAATACAAGTGTATTTCAAATCGACAAAACCATCCATATTATGATACCTATAGCTTTCAATATGGGGTACCAACCTAGTAACTTTCAATATGAATAACATAATGTACCTATTATAGTTGGCATTATTTTTTATTCATGCGAAGAGCAATGTGTTTGTTGATGGAGGGTAATATACAGGGTTTTTAGTGAACCATGGATCATAGATCGTACTCTAGCTGGTGATGAATAAGTTGTCAACTTATCAGAAAACCACAACTTGATCTCAGTGAAAATCTCACGCTTTTCGAGATAGAGCACGAGAAAAGTGAATTGAATCCATATTTTCATATTCCCAGCCAATAAGGAATGTTTTATGTCAATGCAAACTGTTGATGTATCATAATTGAATAAATTGAATTGAATTGTATTGCATTCTCAGTCTCGATACATATTACTGAATAATAGTTCTGTGTTATAACAATCGCAGACGGCAGATTTTCGATAGCAGTCATTCTCAGTTTCCAAAAAAACTTTGATCCAAGTTTCGTGATAAAAAATCATGACGGATCCGAATCGGAGGACAATGTTTTTTTGTAGATATCACAAATGACTGCTATCAAAAGTCCGTTTTCTGCGATGGTAACATATTTATCGAGAATGAGAGTTGACATGAAACGCTCCTTATTTGTTTGGAACATGAAAATAGGAATTATTTATTTTGTTATATAAGAGGCCTGATATCTCCTGAACCGTGAGGTTTTTACTGAGGTCAAGTTATGGTTTTTCAACAGGTTATGAACTTGTTTATCACCAGCGAGAGATCCATGGTTTATTGCCGGAAACCTTCCAAATGTACTATTTCTACAAATTAACTCGAATTTATTCTACTCCTCAACAAAAAACTTCAAGATTACTTGACTGTACTCACGATTTCTCCCATCCAGTTTCGGTAATTTCCTGATTTATCAATCCCGTTCGTTCTGCGGTCGTTGTTGCTCGTTTGAAGTTTGCACTGCAATTTCCGATGGTGTAATTTTCTTTATTG